TGTATGTTTCTTTCTGCAAAATTTTATTAAATTGTACTGCTAGCCTACTTTTACTAATAGTAATAATGTTATCCGTGTCCTTTATTAACATGTTCTGAAACGACTGGTGGAACTAGATACAGGATTTGCACTTATTCATGTTTTGTAATGTTGTGCACAAACTATAAAGATTCTTCTACTAAGTATATTAAATAAATAGATAATATTTTTTAATCATCCTTTAGCACTAGTAAAACGTAGCAGTAACCTGATCTTTCCGAGCGACATTATAAACTGCGCAGTATAATCGCTGCGACGAAACACTCTGCAGTAATCATAAATGCTGTACGAATAAATATACTCAAGGTTATAATTATTCAGATAAATTCTACACTTTTCAAACCTTATATAATGACACCAACAATAAGCAAATATCAATATTTTTGTCTCAGATCCGCAACTTTCTTCCACTGTCTTCACAACTCGACATAGAAAATGGCTGACGCCTCGTGATCACACTCGGAGTTCCTCGGATGACTCGTACCTCGCACATAACCTCGGACGTCAACGGTGATCGACCATCTTGCTGATTCAGTCATGTGATCTTATTTGAATTTCTTTCAAATGTCATACATTTGAAATCGGAGTTATTTTGTGGCACACTCAACAGTTTTTTCTTGCTTTCAAAGCCTCTTAACTTGAGGATGTAATCAAAACCTATTTACGATAAAGAATTGCATAAATTAAGAAACATTTTCGAAGAACGTTATGCTGAGCGAAATATGAAATGAGTGATAAGGCAGTTTCCGGCGGAGAAATGTGAGGATCTGTTGCGTATTCCTCCACTAATCACATCCGAGGTTTGAATGGAGCGGAGCGGAGTCAGCCGAGGATTGCCGATTGTCGTGATCAGATATTGGTATACCGCGCCCGATCGAAAAAAATAAAAATAAACGCAGCTGCTCTAATGATTTTATTCCTGACGGCCACAAACTGACAAAATTGATTCTGCATTTAATAATGCTGAATCACTCACTACCTGAGGATGCTTCCATATAACTATAACAAATAATTGCTTTGCTGTTCTTGAGAAGAAGATTTTTTAAAGATTTTCCCTATATACTGCTATGTAAAATTTTGATCGGCCATTGTGGCCCCACCCTACCCCCGGGGGGCATGATTTGAACAAACTTGAATTTACATTACCTGAGGATGCTTCCACACGAGTTTCATCTTTCTTGGCCCAGTGGTTCTCGAGAAGAAGATTTTTAAAAATGCCATTAATTTTTTCACTAATTCATAATTATCTCCCCTTGGAGGAGAGCGTGGCCCTTCATTTGAACAAACTTGAATCCCCTTCACCCAAGAATACTTTGTACCAAGTTTGGTTGAAATTGGCCCAGTGGTTCTTGAGAAGAAGATGAAAATGTGAAAAGTTTACGACAACAACGACAACGACAACGACGACAACGACGACAGACAACGGACAAATTTTGATCAGAAAAGCTCACTTGAGCCTTCGGCTCAGGTGAGCTAAAAAGGAAGACAAAATAGAGGACGCACTTTTCTGAATAGCCAGGTTTTTTTTCTATTTAAGTATTATGGATTTTTCTCTGTCATTTTCTGTCTCTATTTATTTAATATTTAGATACAAGGATGTGTGAAAACATCATTTGGAAAACCTGGCGAAGTCATTATACGTCTCGCTAATGAAGCACAGGCCAACAATATAATCATCGGTAGCCGAGGTCTGGGAACAGTGCGTAGAACTCTTCTGGGCAGCGTTAGTGATTACGTAGTACACCATTCTGAAGTACCCGTCACTGTGTGTCGTCACAAACATCACACTGCGCATGTCACGGACCGCGCACATTAGTTTAACGATTGAACTAGAATAGACGTACTCCATCATTCTGCAATGTATAATCTTTTCTACTTCTATACTTTAATATTAAATTTATTTTGGTTTAATTTCTTATCTATAGCCTCTTAACAATGAATTTCTGCATGTTTTAATCATATTTTAATATTTGATTAAATCATCTCTCTGTCTGCAGACAGCGGATGAATACATTCATTTTAGGACCACATTACCACATTCTACAAGAAATTATCTATTCTAAAAAGTAGATTTAGAACCAAGAAAAATTTATACAAGTTTTCCAAAAAAGCTTTCAACAGTCATAAACAATATCCAACTATTAACTTATCCTTTTCATTGCCAAAACATTTAAGAAGATAAACAAATCCATGGCGAAAGTTCTTGATCGCGAAAGGAAGATGTAAATATTTCCTAGTTTTTAGCATATTTTGATACTTTTGTCAGGTATAGGCACTGAATGAATAAACACACATTGTGTTATTTATAAAATTCCACAGAATTTACTTGAAGGCACACAACTCTTGTCGGCGGAGGAATTTCTCTTCTTTCCCACGTGACTATTTACACCGGAAGTCTCCATATTCGTGGCGTGGATTGACGTCACTGCTGTAATCGACCACTAAAAAATAAATTTCAAGCATCGAATCTTAAATAAATTCTCAACCACAAAATAGTAAATATAATGCTTAAATGGATTTTCTTATAGTATTTTCCGGTTGATTGTTTGTTGTTCAACATTCTTTGGGAAACCAATATCAGTTTTTTTCAGTGCACCAATTATTTACTAGTACATACAATCTTTTGGTACATATGGTTGACATAGTGATTATACATGATAATTATTTTTTATTCCGGTACCTATTGACAGGATCATTCCTCCCATGTACACCTGTAGACTATTATCGTCCAGATGAAAAAATACCTCTGTAAGACATTCTTATAATGTATAGTACTTACCAAGTGAAAATTTAGTCTGAACCCCATGAAATGGAAATCTCTTAGAGATATTTCACCTTAACCTAACTTCAACTAAAGACCTTCATCTTCACAAAAGTTGTCTATTTAACACAGTTTATGAATTCAGTGTACAGTGGTACTAGAAGGACGAATGTTGTCATCGTGACTAAAAATATAAACTCAAACCTCCACCCCATTCCTCCATCTCTAAAACCCTTTATTTGAGTTGAAAGTTATATGAAATTCTAAAATTTAATAACAGTATTTTTAATATACATTCTCTCGTTATGTTCGGATTAAAACAGAAAATATCCTGACCTTGACCTCCTTTCCTCTGGCCTCGTTTTGAGTTGACATGTCTTCCCTGTATTTAGCCATCCCTTTCCTCAGAATCTCCTCCACAAATCCGTTCACGAGTTCCATAAACGCCGACGTATCATTCTGCTCCTTAAATGTAACCTGTGATGTCCGCCACTGGTTGTTGGGATTCTTTTTCATCCCCGAAATATTCTCCGCAGACGACATTTTCTTACTCTGTGCTGGTGCCCTCAAAATCCACGTAATTCGCCTCCCCTGAAATTAAAGAACTAACCTTTTATATTACTCACATTTTAGGGAAGTCAGAGGGCATTCTGTTTCCTTTTTACATACCTAAACATATCGAAGTTCTTATGATTTCATTTATTCCTAGCAGCCATTATTTTGAGACTTTATCTTATATGACTGTATATATCGGGTGTTGGATGTTGTTATTCACTATTCTACTCTCCTGTTCTCCAGTAAAAGGATCGTTTTTAGAGTCTGCGTCTGTCTCTATATAATTATATGTCTAATGAAGCTTTACTTTGATGTGTAGACCTATTTCCCTGTACATCATCTGCCATTTGTTAGTTTAATTAAAAATAATGGTCAGTGTGAAAAATGTGGTATTCCACAAAACAAACGTTTCGCCCCCAACTGTAACATTTAGGATATACATGTACATGTAATCATTTAAACTATGATTTTATTTTCCGCATAGAATTTAATATGGTTTAAGATTGTGAAATTTATTAGATAGCCTGAATGTCCCAAGGTACCTATTGCCATATTTGGTTTTGTTGGACAGATCATAATCATTGAAAAGAACCTCAGATTCAAACAATGGATAAATAAGTACCAAACAATCCTAACTTGTAAAAAAAAAATCAAACGCATAAGAATGTCAATAGTAAAAGGTTGGCGGAGGACTTCCCTCTGCGGTAGCCCAATAAAATTTGCGAAAAATGCGATGGGAATTTAGTAAGAAATAAAAAACTAACACACAAAGGTAAAAGTACGTTACACAGCCTACCTCTTCTTCAGAGTGGTAGTATAAAAAAGAAATTCTATTAGACTAATACAAGAATAACAACAAGAGCAAAGTAAAAATACTAAATAGTAAGAGGAAAACAAACAAACTAAATAAAGCATTTAAAAAACAAAACAAACAAAACAGAACATGGTTAAAATGTAGCCTTACTTGTTAAAATGAACTAAAATTATAAGTCTATTGTTGTGGTCAACATCCGAAGCTTACATCATGTTCATATTTTACAATATACAGTATACAAATAAATATACAGAAAACCTTTGTACGGCATTTTCTTTTCCAGTCCGATTTCAGCACAGTTTTCCCGTTTTGAATTTTACTGGATTCTAGGACAGTTCTAGATTTGAACTCTTTGTACCGAGTGGTCAGATGTTGTAGAAATCCCAAATAATCGCAGTTGGAGGGAAGGTCTAAAGAAAAATTCAAACAAAAATTCAGGATCTCAACAAAATAATAATCCATTCAGCATAAAACAATTAAATGAGTTTGTAATACATATACATGTATCTAGATATATTTACCGCTTTATATCTGATATTTAGTTACATAAAACAAAAATATTGTTCTTATTTTACTCAGAAATTAGATATCAGAGAATTTCCCAGAAAGTGTGTACAGTGTATATAGAAACTCAGCATGAGATGGACAATGGATTTCTCTTTCAGATTTAGAAATCAATATACGCGGCGCAATGATCTCGGCTTCCATTGGACCACAAAGTGTGAGGGTCAAATACGGTCCTAACTCTGCTCCTGCCGCTGGCGTGTTGCTTACGCAGTCTGTCATCGTTATAAACAGACATTGTATAGATCACTTTCAGCATTATACATATTTAATGGCGTTCTTTATATTATGTTACTTGTTTACAGAGTCCTTATGTAATCAACATTGAACAATATGATGCCTAATATTACTTAGATCATGTAGATTGTAGATAAAAAAGAATATCATATTGTTCTAAAAACCGAGCTAACTGGATGGATCGAATTTAATGGGGGGGGGGGGGGTCTTTTTTATGCATTAGTCAGGGGGGAGGAGGGGCAGGGGGCCTGGCCTCCCCACTTTTTTCGCCAACATTACCTTTAGTATAGAAAATGTCCATTGAAAAGATGGTTGGCCCCCCACTTTTTTACCACAGTATATTCATGGCAAGGGAATATAGGAAAAAATTGGAAGTTAAAGGAAGTTGGCCCTGAAAAAAGTTAGCCACCCCCCCCCCCTCCACGAAATAGGATTTTGGAGTTTGGGCAACTTTTAATTTTTCCTTTTTTTTTTCTTTTTTTTTTTTTGCTTGTCAACTTTTTTTTTAGGTAAGTAAAAAAAAATTTCTCAGGTTGGCCCCCCACTTTCAAAAACGATGCTACGTGCCTGTTAGCTGAATGTAATTCACAGGAATGGGTAATTTGATTAACAAAGTCTAACTAAAATAGCATGTTCATGAAAAACTTAAATTGAAATGTACTATATGACAAATGAAAATCAAACAGGCCTTAAGACAAAAGCAGAAACATGTAAATATATACATACTAATACATATAAAACGTTACAAAATTATTCTTGCAGCATGCAGAAGGAAATTAAGTTTACTAGCTCACAACTTTAAATTAATTCAACTTATTTCACGGGTTTTATATAACCTACCTTTCACAGGAAAATACAGCTGTCTGTTTTCAGAAGGGCTAATGAAGACGTCATGGATTTGTAAATACACACCCTGACCCCGTGGTTCGGTCCCGGGGGGCGGGCTGGGACTGGAGCTATCTGTCACTCTGATACTTCTCTGAAACAATTGTATCACGTGTTTTAATTTCAAAATGTTGCACTTTATCAGTTCTCAGGCATTTGAAGGGGTGATATCGATATTTTTAAATTGAATACATGTGTTTGCCGAAGGCCAAAATGTTGATTTAGTTGATTTAGTCCAATCTCCGAGTATGCTGAATTTTGCTTACTGATTTCCGATTTAAAATTAAATAATGTATATACGTGTAGTTTAAAAAAACCTCTGAAATTATTTTAAGGTTGATTTTTTGTTATAATTATAAATTTGATTGATTTTGATTTGTGTCCTTAAAATTATAATTAATTTTTTTCATATAACAAATAGTCTATTAATTTGGAGAGAAAAAAATAGACATTTTTTCATACGTCCAATTCCAGATTCCCCCAGTTGCGTCTTATATTTTCTACCGCCGTTAGTGGATAGGATAACACGCACCAGGTGGCGCTGAGAGCTTCAGGTCTGGACTGGTGCTCCAGTACGTTTGTTCTTCCGCTGACGTACAATTTGTTTTCCGTGAAGCGGAGACAGGTCGTGACCTGCTGGTATAAATTATTAACACGTGAAGATGTAATTCTACGAAATATAATTTAATAATAAAATAAAATTGAAGTCGTATATGTACATATATTTTTATATATAGAATAAATTAATTAAATTTCTATTTAGGTACAGCTGGATCTTGACACTAGATTTCCGGTTCCAATTAAGTAAAGTGATTTATTAGCAAACATTAATCAATTTTCACAGAAACATTTTATTTGATTGGTTTCTTTCGCAAACATTCCGTTCAAAAATCATGAAAACTTAGTAATAATTTCTGTTTTGAAATGAATGCTAACCTTGGGAAACTGCATCAAGACCCCATCACTCCAAATCCATGAGTACAGAGCCTCGTCCTCGTCAATATTTCTACAACCGCCAATCAGTAAATGTTTAAACCCCGAGGGAAAGTCACAGGGAGAGGTCAGCAGGACACTGACTTCTATGTCGTCTGTAACAGGTGATGGCGTCCAGCTTATCGTCTGCAGATAAAATATTTATAGATCTGTGATGGAAGTGTTCGTCTGACTTTACTCGTAATCTAGAAATCCTATAGATATTAAATCTATTGTAGTAAGATGTGTATTCCAGTGTGGTGTGGTATATGTATACCTACCGGACTTTTGTTCGGGATAAGATCCGCCTGCGTGACATAGTACGCCCTGTCGCTTTGTAGCTTGGGGAAGGTGTTAAGGACTAGTTTGGAATCTTTTGTCCTGAGAGCGTTGCATCGAGAGATGACTCCGATTTGTCCCAGGAGCTCTATCCAGCGTCTGATCTCGTCTTCATTGTCAGTTATATTCTGAACAAAAAAAAAACTTCACATTATAAAATCGTGGCTACGTATACCATTTCAGCATGGCTAAATGTACAATCTCTGTAAGGCTACATTAACTTCTCGGTATGGCTATATGTACCGTATCGGTATAGGCCCTAGCTACAACTTCTCAGTACGGCTTACGAAAATCACTTCAGCATGGTAACCTGTACCATCTCGGTAAGCTATGTACATGTACAATGTACATCATCTCGGTACATCTACATGTACCATTTCGGTATTGCTATGTGCACTATCTCTGTACAGCTACCCGTGCTTTCTCAGTACAGTTAAGTGCATCATCTCGATATATATACGATTGTTTAAATCAGTTTAACTTTAATTTGAAAAAAAAAAAATGATCAAACCTTTTTTAAACGTACTTGCCAGAGTACAGGGAAAAGGTTCTCTCGTAGAATGCCCTGCCTGGCTACGTCTTCTAAAGCCCTCACCAGAAGCCCGGGGTCTGGGCGGTCAGTAACGTCTGTTCCCCAGAACTTCCGGGGGTCAATCTGATAGAGCTTAGTCTGGTCCAGCACGTGCGTGGATACCAGTATCTGGGCTAAAGCCCGGGGGTCAGAGCAGATAACGGGCTCCTTGTTTATGGTAAACACTCGCAGTATTATGTTCTGTGAGTATAAGTTTACACAAGTTAAGATCAATGACATAATTCTCCAGATTTTGAGGTAAAAATTCACCTTAAGTCTGCCATTATTACCTTCGATTCCAGAGCGTCAAAGAAATCCTCGTTTTCCAGGGAAATTCCAATATTTTCTCTAAAATCGTCCTCTTTCATCAAAATTTTCCTCGATGATTTCATCTCTTTTATATTTTTGATTACGGAACCATTATACTGTTTTAATAAAATGGAATCCTTGTGTAACTGAAATTCAACTCTTTTGAAGATTTCCATTTTTAACTTGCTGATTTCCTAAAAAATAAAATAATTAAAAAAATACGGAAAAAGTTCACGATGTGTTCACGAAACATCGCAAGTCTTATCAGTACATGTGCATGTACTTATTAAAGCAATTAATCCGTGCAGAAGTGATTTTCTAATTAAAGTTTTTCATTGATTTAGTTTTAAATACACAACCCTTTTCATCGTTAGGTCCACCACATGTAATGTGACGTTTGATGGGGTGGCTGGCTTTAACGTCAGTAACGAGGTCTCCAGTTTGGTGAGGCAAGCGTACAGAACGGAAACTCTAGGTATGGACGAGATTAAACATCTTACACAACAAGTACTAGTATATAGGTAAGGAAAAATACATGATATGAAATCTCAACAAATGTATGAAAGATGTCAACCATTCATTTTTTTCCAGGGTGGGGGATGTTAAAATCACCTATCTGTGTTTGATATTGAGTGTTTTTCTTTGATCTCCGTGATGCGCCTCTTTAGTTGTGACTTTGTGTTGTTTATACATGAGTCCGGGAGGTTTGGGTCCTCCTTGTGTGAGCAGACGACAATGATGTTCGGGTTTGATACCTGAAAACGGAGGGAAAAAAGATATTCTGTAAGACTTGCCTCGACATATAGCTAAAAATTGAAGAAATAATATTAAAAGGACAGCCCAGAACAAAGTTTTGATTATAATGCCTGTTCCTTAATTACCAGACTTGCCTTGGAATGAATGTCCAGCCATGTTTGTATAAAGTCGTCTGCTGCCTCTGAATCAGATTCCGCGGTGGAGATACACAGAAGAAATAGGGAACTTCTGGTGAAAAAGAAACTTTGAATTCCGCGAAAAATCTGAAAATATCAAACTTACTTTGAGAAAATCAAGGAGGAGTATCAAAAACTATGAGTAAAGAAATGTTATCTACAAGACCATACCTGATTACGACAATAGACAATACACAACGTAAACGAGGAAAGCTGAGACAAATAAGTTGAGGGTACAAGGCTATCGATTGTAATTTAAGGTGCTTTATCTACTCCCAATGTGTATTGTTCTGATGGACTTTTAAGCTTCATAACTATTCGTTAAGATCCTATTTCATTCAAAAAAAATTTAAAGATAGAATTATTTATGGGATATCATTGCTTCCTTTTGACACTAAAAAAAATGATTACCCTCCTTCCCGACCACTCCCAAATCTCGACAGGTGGCGTTGTTTCCTCAACATCGCCCGACAATACCCTGGTATCTGTCATTGACAAAAATCGTAATCATCGGTAGAAAAAATACTCAGTCTGTAATCAGATTGAAAAATACAGAAAGTTGAAGATGATAACGTTGATGACAATGATTATTGTCCAAATTCGTAGCAAAATCGTCATCATCACAAGTTTATATTTATACCGCTGACCAGATGACAAATGATCCGAGGAGAATTTAAGGAAAGAACAATATACAAGCATCTAAAAACATATATTTTATTTTTACATATATTTGTAATAAAGCTTGAAATAAAACAAGAATGATTAAACTCAAAATGTCTTGCCTGTTTTGAAAGAAAAATTTCACGTTTGAATAAAACAAAAAGTATTAAACTCCAAAATACCTTGTCTGTTTTGAGGGAGAAATTCCATATGAATAAAACAAAAATAATTAAACTCCAAAATGTTTCTGGAGAGAAATTCCATATCAATATTTATAAAACAAAATGATATTCAATAGGTACATTCCATATGATAAAACAAAAATTATTTAATTCCAAAATGTCTTGCCTGTTTTAGGAGAGAAACTCCACGTATGGATACTGACGCCGTTATCACACCGGGTTCCACTGTCGTGCCCCGTCAGTCCAAATATGGCGGTGACGAGGTCTGACTTGCCGCATCCCGGACGACCGAGCACAAAAATCCTCATCTGTAGAAGTTATGTCACACTGATATCCCCGCCCCCCAAAGTTATAAACTTTGTAATGTAGCAAACCATAACTCAAGATGAAGGGAGGGTCTGTTACATCTTAGGGAGTCCGCATGTTGTTTTATCAGAGCGCGTTTGTTTTTATTCTGACAGACAAACGGACAAATATGACAGACAAACAGACAAAGATAATCACGTATTGGATAGAAACTGTGATATAATAGGAATGAGCAATATGCACAAAATGTTGGCTTGGTGAATTATAAGATAAAGATTTCACACAGCTATGCCTTCTAGTAAGGAATTTCCAGTTGGGCTGATAAAGACGCGAGAAGAGTGCTTGCTGAGTAAATATGTAAAAGAAGTTCTTGATCGAATTTCTAAGAAGTTTTCATGACAGAAAAAAATCAATTGATTCAAGATAAGAAGATGACGGAAAATTCAAAGGAAGGCCCGGCTATCGTGTCACCCTGTCTTCAGTAGAAATTATGAATAATTTATTTGATGACAAAAACTGTGTAACTGAAGATCTAGATTAAATGAGTTATTCAATCGTTCTTTTAAACTTCTAGTATCAATTCTTGTAGTGGTATTGTAAATACACTTGCAAAACATTTTTTTTTAATTGTAATTTCTTACATTGTTATATAGTATGTTCAATATTCATTTTTTTAATAAAAGGAAAATAAACGTACGACCGGCGGCGCATTAATTAAAATTATTTTCGCAACGACTATATTGCTGTTTTAGTTATAAACAAATAATTAAAAGATTAATTAAAAGAATGTCATGAATTTCGTTCCAGTAGCTTAATTAAAACAACTAAGTCATGACCACACATGTTTTGGCCACAGGAGATATTAATTAACATGTTTAACATGTTTAAAAAGAAATTATAACTGGTCGGTTAATTAAAATAACATGTTGATTGAGAGGATGGACATTATCAAAAGAAAAAGGCCAGATATTATTAATTTAAATGAAAATAAAAAACGAAGAATGGATGAAATATACGGCATTAAAGGCAAGGTAAGAATAATATTGAAATCATTTACAGAAACTGGGAAAACCCGGAAGAAATTCCGTTAATGGTTTAGAAATTAGAATGTATTTGGTCAATTGCGCATGCGTTAGTATTTGTTGTGATTTCGAACAGAAAGATGTGAAAGAAGGTAAAATAGTTTGTGTGATTCTTTACGTGAATTATTTTTTTGTCTATGAATAATTCCTTATATTTTAAACTTTGTATTACACTAGTCTGTATGAGTATTTTGCATCATGCAAATGCAGACTGAATTTTAAGGATTGCGTGAAGCCGGGAAATGTGTCTCAACTTGCTTTGCATGACACTGACAGTGTTCAGTAAATATATTATCATTCATCATGTTGATCAGATAGCACCACCACCAAAAAAAAAAATGTTTTTTAAGAATTAACTATAGAATGTGCACTTACGATTATCTGTAAAAAAAAAATTGCATAATTTTTAAAGCAAAATTGGAAATACACAATGAAACTTCAACCCTCCCCCTTTTTCTTCAGATTTGCTCTCGGAGCATTTGGTTCCATGAAGATATATGATGTGATTGATTTATATATTGAGATTCAACCGTTAGGATTTGAAAGTCATTTTCTTTTATTAATTTTGTTTCTGTAGGATTTAATGCAGGACACTGACAGTCTGAAGATGGCCAGCACAAGCATGTTAGGGGGGACTGGTCATGTCACTGGCTTGCCTCCCGTTGTCCCAAACCTGGCCTCGTCGCTACCTCAGCTGACATCAGAGACCGAGCTCCAAAAACTGCTCGCTGATGAACGAATGAGAAGCCAGATGCACAGAACCAACTATGAGCAGCTAAAAGAGGAGCACAAAAGGTTGTTAATCTCAGATTTTTTCTCAGGATAAAGATGCCTAAAAAAAATATAGGTCCCATTGTCAAAACCTGTATAATTTAAATATACAAATTATGAAATTAATATGATAAATGTTTTCAAATTAAAATTTTAAGTAGGTTTTGAATGCTAGAATGACTGAATTTTAGGTTGCAAGATGAATATGCCCAGTTAGAGGAAGAGATTAAAAGGACAGTGGAGGAGAGTAAGATTGTACAGGAGAAGTACAAGACGATGTACGAACAGACGCGGCGCGAGCTCGGAGAGAAGAGTGCGCAGATGGAGGAGGTCCGAAGCAGCGTAAGTCAAAAGATCTACAGATTAGTTCTGTCAGGGTTTGACATTAAGCTTTTGGAATACTAGACCAGTCGGGCTACTCTGGCAAATTTTTACTAGCCCTGACCCTTTAACCACTAGCCCTGACCAAACTTGAGAAAAAAATATTTAAAGCAGGAAATAGTGAGGATTTATGAATAACCCTTTTTATAATCTGTTTGATTGTATAGGTTTTTAATTTTTAAATTTTTAAAAACAAAACATTCCTGCACATGCCAACATCAAAACTAGGTCATATACATGCGGCTTGTTGTGTTTAGTCCTACTCCTACAAGTAAGAGCCTCGGTTAACGTCCCTACGCTCCTTATATACCTCGGACTCTTACATCCGAAGGCCATTTTCTAATGAGCTCGTTCCGCCTGATATTTTGGGCGGAACGTATTATGCGTGAAATAAACTGTTAACAAGTAATTTTCAGGTACCTACGTGTTTGCATGGGGTATGAAAGTCACAAGAAATAATAAAATCCATTTTATTCAGTGTGCATTATTGTTAATTAATGAAAATTGACATTATTCCAATTTGTCACCAGAAGTACTTTCGATTTGACTTCACATCAATTTTGCGGATTGCTTGTCAGAAAACGAAACTTTCGTTGCATTACACTGGTTTCGTTTCGTCAGATTTTCTGAATTTCATTTCTGAATTTTAAACAGACGACTTGTTTCAATTTCTGCTTCGAGTTAAAAAATAATGGATTTATTGCTAATAAGAGAGGTTAACAGTGTTTTATGCATAAGTTTTATCGTAAATATTGAGTATTTTTATTATTTCGTACCATTCGTTAATATACAAAGCCTTATTTCTTAATAAAAATAATTTATTTCCACTTGGGGTTTCAGCGGCGAGAATTTTTACAATGGATGCTAGAGGTTACG